TAGACGTTTAATAAATTATTGAGAAACTAATATATGCAGGGCACTGGAGATGAGAGGCAGAAATAGAGACGCCATCCCTACCCTTATGGAGCTCTTAGTGTTGTGGTGGTTGGTGTGGAGAAACGTGCAAAGAATCATACGTGAGAATCAGCAGGACAAAGACTAATTGGTGTTCATAGGAGAAAGAGAGAAGATGCACCCCAGGGTTTAGGCCTGGGCAGATGAGTAGATTGTGCCATTCTGTGAGCAAGGAACACCAGGTGATAAGGGGGAGAAGGTGGTCAGCTTTAGAAACACTGAGCTGTGGAATATTCAAGTGGGAACATCCAGCAAGGAGTTGGATATCCAGGTCCAGAGCTCTGGAGAAAAGTCTGGATGAAAACACAGGTTTGATTAATAGTGGACAGTGAATGGTGTTTCAAGTCATGGGAGTAGATGAGATAAACCAGGACAATAGAAGAAGAAAAAAAAAAATATTTAAGGGATGATCAGAGATAAAATCTGCAAAGATGCTAAAAAGGAGAAGCCAAAATGGTGGAAACAAAGGCACACCTCGTCATAGGAGCTGAGGAGGACAGTGCCTAATAGTTTAGAGATACCACATAGGATGAAAACTGAAAGGTATGCATTGAACTTGGTGACAGTGCAGTCCTTGGTAATCTCTGCTAGAGACATTGTCATGGCATGGTATGACTAGGCATGATATTTCTGTTTGCTGAGGAAGGACCTGAAGACTAACAAATGGAGAGAGATGTAGAAAACTCTTACAAAGTGCTTGACCCTGAGGGGAAGAATAGAGATAAAAGAGCTAATGATACTAGCTTGAAAAATACATTCAGTGATACTCTAAAAAACAGAACAAGGATCTAGAGTAGAAACTACTGGGAAGCGGCCTTGGCTCAATACCTAACTAAACTTTCTAACCATTAGAGTTGTTCAAAAGTGGATTAGGCTGCCTCTAGAAGAAATGAACTCTTGATTGCTGGAGTTATGGAAGTTCTATTAGCCTGAATGTTCTATTAGCAAAGAATAAACGTATCAAATCAGTAATCTAGGCCTCCACTTTAAGAAATTAGAGCAATGGCCAGGTGCAGTGGCACATGCCTGTAATCCCAGCACTTTGGGAGGTCAAGACAGGAGGATTGCTTGAGCCCAGGAGTTTGAGACCAGTCTAGGCAACACAGTGAGACTCCCCATCCCTATTCTTTATTTCAATTATTAAATAAAAAAGAAACTAGAGAAATAAGAGCAAATTAAACTTAATGCAGGCAGAAGAAAAGATATGAATTAGTAAGGAACAGAAACCAGTAACATTGAGGCTGGGTGCAGTGGCTCATGCCTGTAATCCCAGCACTTTTGAGAGGCAAAGACAGGCAGACAGCTTGAGCCCAGGAGGAGTTCAAGACCAGCCTGGGCAACATGGTGAGACCCCCATCTCTACAAAAGATACAAAACTTAGCTGGGTGTGGTGGTGTATACCTATAGTCCCAGCTACTTGGGAGACTGAGGTGGAAGGATCAACTGAGTCCTGGGAGGCTGAGGTTGCAGTGAGTCATGTTCATGCCACTGCACTCCAGCCTGGGCAACAGAATGAGACCTTGTCTCAAAACAAAAATAAGAAAAAGGAAACCAGTAACGTTGAAACTAAAAACTGGTTTTATGAGGAGAAAAAAATCATTAACACTGATAAACCTCTAACCAAGAAGAAAAGAGAAGACACAAATGACCAGGAATGAAAGAGGGACATTACTACAGAACCCAAAAAAATTAAAAGGACAATAAAAATGTTCTAAAGACAAATATGTAATATACCCATAAATTAAACTTATATGAAAGGAGCCAATTCCTTAAGAGACACAAACCGCCAAAACTCACTTAAGAAAAATTGATAAGCTGAATGGTATGTATCTATTAAAGAAATATCATTCCTACTTATAAAAAAAACTTCCAACAAAGAAAACTCCCAACCCTGTCTCTACAACAAAATTAGCGAGGTTGGTGGCACATACCTGTAGTCCCAGCTATTCAGGAGGCTGAGATGGGAGGATCACCTGAACCCAGAAGGTCAAGGCTAGTGAGCCATGATTACACTGTTGCATTCCAGCCTGGGTGAGGGAGCAAGACCCCATCTAAAAAAAAAAAAGAAAAGAAACAAAAGCAAAACACCCACACCAGACGCCGATGGTTTTACTTGTGAATTCCATCAAACATTTGAAGAGGAAATAGCACCAATTCTGCATGATCTCCTCTGTAACTGCCCAGCAGGTTCACCTTGCCCACTGCCCAGAGAGCCCATTTATCCGGACAGGGAATTGCAATGGACAAAGAGTAATGCATGCAGAGCTGGCTGTGCAGGGGACTGGAGTTTCATTATTTTCATTATTACTCAAATGAGTCTCCTCAAGCATTCAGGAATCAGTTTTTAAAGATAATTTGACAGGTAGGAGCTTAGGAAGTGTGGAGTGCTGATTGGTCAGGTTGGAGATGGAATCACAGAGGGTCGAAGTGAGTTTCTCTTGCTGTTTTCTATTCCTGGGTGAGATGGCAGAACTCATTGAGCCAGATTACCAGTCTGGATGGTGTCAGCTGATCCACTAGAGTGCAAGGTCTGCAAAATATCTCAAGCACTGATCTTAGGTTTTATAATAGTGATTGTTATCCCCAGGGGCTATTGGGGAGTTTCAGACTCTTGAAGCCAGAGGCTGCATGACCCCTAAACTGTAATTTCTAATCTTGTAGCTAATTTGTTAGTCCTGCAAAGGCAGACTGGTCCTCAGGCAAGAAGGGGGTCTTTTCAGGATAGGGCTATGATCAATTTTGTTTCAGAGACAAACCATGAACTGAGTTCCTTCCCCAAGTTAGTTTGACCTATGCCCAGGAATGAACAAGAACAGCTTCAAGGTTAGAAGCAAAATGAGGTTCGTTAGGTCTGATTTCTTTTACTGTCATGATTTCCCCTGTTATAATTTTGGAAAGGTGGTTTTATCTCCAAAAAATACAAAAGGGGAACTCTCCCCATCTTCTGAGGTCAACATTACCGTAATACCAAAACCTAAGGCATTTGAAGATAGAACTACAAATCAGTATCCCTCATGAATACAGAGCAAAAATCCTCAACAAAATGTTAGCAAATAAAATCGAGCAATACATCAAAAGGAGAATATATCATAATCGAGTGTGTTTATTTCAGGTATGCAAGGCTGATTCATCATTCAGAAATCATCCAGTGTAATTCACCATGTGAATATGAAAGATTAGCCTGAATGGTCAATAAGCAAAGTTTTCAGGTTATATAATGAATCAAAGAATCTAAGCTTAGACATAGCAATGAACACTTTGGGAGGCCGAGACAGGCGGATCACGAGGTCAGGAGATCGAGACCATCCTGCCTAACACAGTGAAACCCCGTCTCTACTAAAAAAATACAAAAAATTAGCCGGGCGTGGTGGCGGGCGCCTGTAGTCCCAGCTACTCAGAGGCTGAGGCAGGAGAATGGCGTGAACCCGGGAGGCGGAGCTTGCAAATGAGCCGAGATTGCGCCACTGCACTCCAGCCTGGGCAACAGAGCGAGACTCCGTCTCAAAAAAAAAAAAAAAAAAAAAAGACATAGCAATGAAAACCAAGTTGTGAGCTTTACTTTACTAGAAAGGAGAGAAACAAACACCTCACTTAAAAAAGGAGGAAAGAGCCATGCACGGTGGCTCACACCTGTAATCCCAGCACTTGGGGAGGCCAAGGCAGGCAGATCACCTGAGGTCAGGAGTTTGAGACCAGCCTGGCCAACATGGCAAAATCCCATCTCTACTAAAAATACAAAAATTAGCCAGGCATGAAGGCGAGCACCTGTAGTTCCAGCTACTCAGGAGGCTGAGGCAGGAGTAATCGCTTGAATCCAAGAGGCAGAGGCTGCAGTGAGCCAAGTCTGGGCAACAGAATGAGACTCTGTTTCACCGGAAAAAAAAAAAAAAAAAGTTGAGGGGAAAGTTTCCCCTCTGGATAAGAAACAGAATGACAGATCAGGCTCCTGTGAAGGGTCTGCAGAGTGTTCTTCCTCTGGTAGCCTCATTTCAAGGACTGGTCTGCAGTTAAACAGGAGTTGGGTTTCCCCTCTTGAACAGCTAGCCTTTCAGAGTCCTGGATTGGTGGTGTTCTATCCATGCCTGGGGTAGAGGAAGGCAAGGACACCTGCAATCTTGATTTTCTCAGATGCTTAGAGTCCCAGAGTGTCAGAGTTTGAAATGGAGCCTGGATCCTACCTAATCCAAGTGCCCAGAGTTGAAGAGAAAGCAGACCCCAGTAGAGGATGGCTTCTCCAGACTCCTTCCCTCCCCTTTGTTCTGAAATCCAGGGATTGTGAGCTTGTCCCAGGACAGTAAGCCCTTGAGACCCTATCTCCTGTCTTGCCCTAACCAAGCTCCCCCTCCAGCCATTGTATGTTTGCTTTTAAGTTTATCTTTACACATAAGAAGTCGCCATCAAAACCAATCTAGCCTGGGTTCTCATCCCTCTTTTCTTGCTAGTTGATGTCTGGTGTGCAGAAAACCAATCAGACATAGGCCTTTACACAGAGTCATCCCAGATTTGTAGACTGAAGACTGACCTAGCCACCTGCCTTGAGCCTACAGACCTCACAACCAAACAGACACAGACTAAGCCCCATCATGTTTGATTCTGTGTAATCCATCCTAATTCAACAAATTCCTTATAAGATTATAGTAAAAATGTATTGAGCTCTCATTATGTACCTGTGACTATGCCACAAGGTTATGCATTTTCTCATTTGATCCTCACAACCCATTAAAATAGGTACTGTTCTCATCCTCATTTTGCAAATAGATACAGACTTAGAGAGGCTAAGTAACTTGCCCAAGGTCACAGTGAGAAGAGCCAGGATTTGAACCCAGGTCTAGCTAACTCCAGTGCTCAGGTTTTCAGGAATGAAAAATCTTCCTTGTTTAAAATGAAAATTGCTTTCTCTTTCTTTACCCCCATCTCTGCAGTCTCAGGAGGAGGTCTGTGATTTGCTCCATGCCGCACCCTTCCAAAACATCTTGCCTAGAGTCTACATAAAAGGTAAGAAACCACTATAGCAGCTGAATAGCCGACCAGCATTTGAACCTTATTTTCACTTCCTAATCCCAGTCAACTCAGATCTAGTCAGCAAGGGGGAAGGTTAAAGCTTTGGACACCTATTGAATAACCAGAGAATCACAAATCGGAAGATGAACCCAGCCACCTGCATTGAGCCTACTGACCACATGACCAACCAGACAGACTCTGAAGCCTGTTATCTTTGATTCTGTCATTCATTCTAATTCTTCAACAAATTCCTTATAAGATTATAGAAATGACACTCCAGGCCCTGTCCCTTGTTCCTTCTAAAATATCTCTAGTATAGTGTTATCTAGGCTTAGAATTTAAATATATATATATATTAATATATTAAACCACTAAACTAGAGATATTCTAGAAGGCAGACGATTCCATTGTTGGACAAATCATAGAACATTTTTCCTTGTAAACACTACTTACACTTTCCAGAACGAAGGAGAGCAGTGCCACACACTCCATCCCATTTTTGGAATGCAGATACATCATCAGGTCCTTTGAGAGTTTTTCCTTCCCCGGTTGCCCCATGTGCCCTGAGTCTCATTTTCTGCTCTGTGACTCCTTTTGCAGAGGGGGAGCGCCTGGAGGTCCGGATGAAACGTCTGGAAGCCAAGTATGCCCCACTCCACCTGGTCCCTCTGATCGAGCGGCTGGGAACCCCTCAGGTACCAATCTTATATGATGAATGGGCTCTGATCACTGACAGGAACTTGAAAGCATTCGACTAAACCCCCTCGTTGTACAGGTCAGAAAACTGAGGCTCAGAGAAGGGAAGAGAATGTCCAGTACCACAAAACTGGCTAATATTAATAGCAACAGCAGGTCTGGAATGAGATTTGCTGACTCTCAGGCCTGAGTGTTTCTTCCATACCTTGTATCATCGTATATCCTGCCAACAAGTAGTCTGTTCATTTAAACAAGTATGGACTGTGTCCCTGCTAGATATCAAGAATCCGTTACTTTGTCTCTAAAAGTTAAAACTCCACATACTCTGTGAGCCAGCAGTTCACTTCTGGATATTTTTGCTAAAGGAACACTAGATGCTTATGTAACATTGTTTGTTAAAGCAAAAACTAGAAACAACCCAAACATCTAATAGTAAAGCATTGATTAAATAAAATGCTAAGTTATTGCATATTACGTATATACTTAATACATAATGAAAAGGCAAAATTAGATCTTGATGCATCAGTGTGGATAGATCATAAGCACAGTCGATTGATTGGATGAAGCAAGTTGCACTACAGTTCACACAGGATGATGCGTTCTTTTAAATGCACACAACAAAACCACATAAAACTCTTCTGAAAATGTCTGGAATGATGTCTACCTAGTTTATCATGGTGGCAACCTCTGAAGAGAGATGAGATAGAATAGAGTGGGAGAGAAAGAAGACTTCAGCCTTTTCTGTAGTGTTCTAATAAAGGTGAATGAGCTTATGTGTTATTCTGTAATTGTTAAAAACCAGTACTAGTCACGATGAACATCAAGATGAATAAGACAGGACCCCTGCCTTCAGAGAATTCAGATTATGCAGGGAGCAGGAAGAAAGAGACATGGGGGGAAAGTGGAGAAACAAAAGGTGTGTGCTGTCACCTTTCAAGTTGATTTAAGCAAGCTTCACGTTTTATGGGTGCAGGCAGGGGAAGAATTCAGGAAGAAGAGAAACAGGGTATTCTAGTGAGACAAGCCAATGCCAACTGTTTAAGAGATTTAGGATTGAAATTCGCTGTTGAACTTGCATTCCGGCGGTCCTCTCTGGTGTTCTCACCAAGGGCAGAAGGACTCAAATCCTCAGCAGAGGGCAGAAGGTGGCCTGTCTTCTGGCAAAACATGGTAAGTATTTTTGGAGCACGATGCAGAGCCTTATCTGCACAAACGTCACACGGAGGAAGCCACCCCAGTCCAGCCCCCGCATGCCACCAACCTCCTTCTGAAAATGGTGATTAAAAGCTAATGGTGGGGCCGGGCGCAGTGGCTCACACCTGTAATCCCAGAACTTTGGAAGGTCAAAGCAGGCGGATCACCTCAGGGCAGGAGTTCGAGACCAGCCTGGCCAACATGGTGAAACCCCAGCTCTACCAAAAATACAAAAATTAGCCGGGCACAGTGGCAGGCACTTGCAATCCCAGCTACTTGGGAGGCTGAGGCAGGAGAATCACTTGAACCCAGGAGGCAGAGGTTGAAGTTAGCTGAGATCGTGCCACTGCACTCCAGCCTGGGCAACAGAGCGAGACTCCATCTCAAAAAAAAACAAAAAAAATGCAGCTAATGGTGGTTGGGTTCTTTAACTCACCACAGAGAGAACTCAGATACTCTAGAGCACACACATTTTCTTTTTTGGCCTGCAGAGGCTAAACAGAGGAGATCCTCTCCAGTGATTTCCTTTTAGGGAGAAAACCCAGTGAGTGACACGTGAATGTGTCTGCTCCCCACTGCTGCTGTCATCCTGCAGGCATCCGCCTCTCGCAGGCATCCCGCCTCTCACTCCGAAGTCTGGCATATGTTTCCACTTAGAGGACTGTGAATTCCTTCCCTGTTCTGGTGAACACCATTTCCTTGGGACTGATAGAAATCTCAGTCTGTCAAATGCTGAGTGTTTAACAAACAAAAGCCTAGACATTCTGTGGGACAGGAAGTGCTAGTTTTCTAAGTCCCCCATTCCTCAAGAAATAGTCCAAAACTTAGTCATTCCATGAACCAAAGAAAAGTTAACAAAATATTAACTTCCGAGATGGTTTGGGCACAGGGTACTCGTAAGATATCTAGGAGGTGACAGAGGAAGTCCGCAACATATTTAAAGCCGGGAAGCTTGAGCAGTATTGCATTCTTTGCATTTGTTTGAGACAAATTGAAGTGGCCTGCTTTGTTGCCCCACACTATCATGGAAGAAAAACTTGGGGCCGGGGGAGGTTAAAAGACAGGGATCCTTGTCCCAACTCCACCCCTAAATTACCTAGTGCGAGCCATTTTTCTCAATCTTTATTTTACCATCTATGTAATGAGATCATAGCTGCTTTACCTGCCTTTCTTGATTGTTATGATGAGCAAATAATAGAAGCATAAGAATTCAAAAAACATCGAGTCTTTTGAGAAGGAATATTATTATATATTGTTATATATTCCTTCTCAAAGTTATAGAGAATGAATATTGAGATTATTTTGGCACAGCTTCACAAATGTTTTCTCTATCCCCTTGTTAAACTCACATAAGGGCAGAAAGAGAAAAACTCCCCACTGAGGGGAATAGAAAAGAAATGGATAAAAGCTATGTTAAACACTCCCCTCCCTACATAACACCAAACTGCAAATTGAGGGTATTCGCAGGAAGTGATCTATAAAGCACGTTTTCAAAGCAAAGAGAAAATGACAGACATACCAAACAAGACATGAAAGAAAATTCACAACATAAAAAAATACAATGTTAACACACACGGAAAAGTATCTGGCCTTACCAGTAATCAATGAAATGCACATTCAAAGAATGAGGTAAAATTTTTCATCTCAAGTTGACAAAGACTATTTCTGAATGGATTATTATTATTATTATGACAGGGTCTTTGCCTGTCACCCAAGCTGGAGTGCAGTGGTGCAATCATAGCTCACTGCAGCCTCAGCCTCCCAGGCTCAAGCAATCTTCCTGCCTCAGCCTCCTGAGAAGCTGGGATGACAGGCACACAACACCATATCTGGATAATTTTTTTATTTTTATAGAGATGAGGTGTCACTATGTTGCCCAGTCTGGGATACAGGAGTATTCATGAGGGTACAAGGAACAGGCTTCACACAGGTGAATGCACACGGATCAACTTGCCTTAAGAATAGTTTGCCACCGTATAGCAGATGCCTTTTAAAATATTTATACTCATTGACCCTTCAGTTAGTAAATATTCATCCTAACAAAATGCTCATTCACAGCTCACAGGATGTTATGTATAAGGATGGTGGGCCGGGCATGGTGGCTCACACTTGGAATCCCAGCACTTTGGGAGGCCAAGGTGGGTGGATCACCTGAGGTCAGGAGTTTGAGACCAGTCTGGCCAACATAGTGAAACTCCATCTCTACTAAAAATACAAAAATTAGCCGGGCATGGTGGCCCACACCTGTGATCCCAGATACTCAGGAGGCTGGGGCAGGAGAATCACTTGAACCCGGGAGGTGGAGGTTGCAGTGAGCCCAGATTGCGCCACTGCACTCTGGCCTGGGCAGCAGAGTGAGACTCTGTCTCGAAGATTTAAAAAAAAAAAAAAAAAAAAAGGATGGTGACTTTAGAATTGTTCATAATTTTGAGTTTGTTAACAATTTAAGATAACCTAAGTATATAAGACTAAATGAATTATATCAATGACCATTAAATGTAGCCATTCCTTCAAAATATTGAAGAAATGAGTTAAAGTTACTGATATATTAAGAAAAAAACAACATAGTAATATGACTCAAATTGTTAACTATACATGTATACATTCACATACCTAAACAAATCATACATATTTTAAGAATGCTTATCTCTGGGTAATGAGGTTTATGAAATATTTTTATCTCCTTAGAACTTTTTCTTTTTTTTTTCCTAATCACTAGGCCATCAGGAAGGGACAAACACATTTCAAAGGAAAGGGAGAAAGCTCCTGTGGCAGTCAAGGCCCTTTTCATTGGCTGTAGTGGGTGGGGGCACCAGAGTTCAAAGTCTGTCCACAGATTTATAACCTCAGTTGCCAATTTTTCTATTCCCCCTTCCAGGACTGTCTGACCCTGAGGACTGATTCAAATTAACCAAATGCACAGTCGATTAATTAGTAAACCAGAATTCTGTATGCATTAATTGGCAAAAGAATATTCACGGCTTGAGAACAAATTAGGGTCTTTTATTTACTGAGCATCTCTCGTGTACTAGACTCTCTTTCTGAAATGGGGAGCCCTTTCTGGGGCCAAATAGAACAGAGTAAGAACAAATAAAGAGAATACAAACACACTCAAACACAGGCTCAGGATTTTTTTTTTTTTTTTTTAACACAAGAGATATTTCTAGCTAACTGTGGCAATCTCAGCGACTCTCCCTCAGCTCCCAAGCTGTTCCTGCCAATGAAATCAAGATGAGTCACCGGGAATCAGGGTTCCCTCTCCTTCGTGTTTAAAACACACATTGGCAAACTGCTTCTCCAATTCATCTTTTTCCTAGATTTCTTTCAGTTCGTAGTTGTCATGACAACTATACTCATGGTCCACATTTATAACAGACTCCTGCCTTGGTGTTTCCTGATTTCCTTCCCTTCATGGGTTCACTTAAAGGTCACCCTCTTCCTGGGGGCCTCCAGGGAGGGGGCTTCCGGGGGAGGTCAGACAGGTGCCTCCCAGCCACCCTGTAAAATGACTCCTTGGGGAAACCTCCCACTGGGGAGCTGATCCTATGAGTCCCCTGTGGATCTCTCAGAGTCAGAAGCCTGCCTTTTTTAGCTTTGTTCACAGATTTGGAGACCTTACTTTAACCTCCAATTTTAACATTTACCTTACTTTGTAGATAGCTTTCAGGACCTCTACCCCTACATGGTTTGACTCATAACGTATGTAGTAATGTGTCTGACGTCTAGCCTGTCTAGCCAGCTGCTTATTAGATGTGCAGTAGCCAGAACTCAGATGAAAGGCCAGTTTACGTTATTAATAGAGGTCATTTGTAACTGTCAAACAAGCACTTCTAGAGGAAATAATTATCGGAAATCATGGGCAAGTTTTAAATGTAACATATGCTCATTGTAGCACATTCAACTGTACAGAAGTATTTAAAGTCAAGAGTGACAATCCCACTCACTTCTCCAAGCCCATCTGTTCCCGCAATTGGTGTTAGTCCTTCTAAAATACGCTTTACACGCACACACATCACACATACTTTCATCTGTGCGATTGTACATTGTCAATGTTTTTAAGTAGAATTGTAGTATACATTCATTTCTGCAATTTACTCTGTTTACTTTACAACTTAACCAATAGAGCTAGACTGCTGGGTCAAATGTGAGCTTTGACACTCACTGGCTGCCTCTCTGAACCTTAGTTTCTTCATCTATAAAATGGGGACAGTAATGGCATCTACCTCACGGGATGGAATGGAGTCAATATATATCAAGTGCTTAGAACAGGGCCTTATGCTTTACTACCCACACTCAGCATAAGCTAGTAGTAGTTATAGTAGAAGCAGTAGTACTACTAGTAGTATCATGTCAGTCTTTTCAATGGCTATCCAGCATTCATGACATGGGTAAATCATAATTTTAAAAATTAATCCGCTACTGATTGTGCCTGGATTTTACTTAACACCAGTAAGACTTACCGTGAAACTTCCCTGCTGTTGCATTCAGGATCATCAAGTTTGTGCCCTGCTCTGAACAAGACCAGTTCTGGTGAATTCATTCCAGGTGCAGCCAGCTTCAGAGTTCAGGAATCTCTGGTGGGAGGTGGCAGATGGGCTCTAAGATGTGGATAGAAGGTGTGTGTGCCCTTCCATTTCCAGCAAATCGCCATCGCTCGCGAGGGTGACCTTCTGACCAAGGAGCGGCTCTGCTGTGGCCTGTCCATGTTTGAGGTCATCCTGACCCGCATTCGGAGCTACCTGCAGGACCCCATCTGGCGGGGCCCGCCGCCCACCAATGGCGTCATGCACGTCGATGAGTGTGTGGAGTTCCACCGGCTGTGGAGCGCCATGCAGTTCGTCTACTGCATCCCTGTGGGAACCAACGAGTTCACAGCAGAGTGAGTACCCGCCGGAGAGGGCAGGGTTACCCCCAGTCTGCCTGTGCTCCTGCAGGTCATGGGGCTACCAGAGTTCAGCCAGAAACGTGGGTAGGGGGTAGGGGTGGTTGGCCAACAACTACTTTGTTGAGTGTGTTGAGCTGACTGCATGGGCAAGAAAGAGCCCAGTAAGGGTTTGATAGTAAGACCCTCACTGCCTACCTTACCCCCACTACACTGCACCACTAGACAATGAGGAGCCTTCAGGAGTCCTTAGAGCAGACAGCAGAGCTAGTTCTTCCTGCACTCACCCAGCTACATAGCGAGGACAGAGTGGAAAGGCAGACAAGGCCTCCCCTCCAGCAGCCAAGAGCTCTAGGAAAAAGGTGTGGGGAGAGGAGGCTTCCCCAAGAAAGTGGTGTTGGTGAAGCTGTCTCAGAGCCGTGCTGGCCTGCAGGCTTCCAGTGCAGGGATGGGGAACTGGGGACACCCGCCCGGGTTGGGCTGCTGCTTGAGGACAACAGAGACAGCTGAAGGATGACTCTGCTGCCATCCAAACTGCCCAGGTCTCTTGAGAGTTGGGGGCCTGCGGTCAGAGCTTTGTCAGAACCAAAAGGACTCAGCCTCGACCCCAGCAGCATCTGCCCCCATGGCCTTTCCCTTCCCTCTCAGCCTGCTTCTGGCCAGTTGGCCTCCTGGCCCCTCTCCCCCTGGGTGTTCCTTCAGCTCCCTTAGAGAGTCAAGACAGATTCTCCTTTGACCTGCACAGAGTAATCAGCCACATACATCTCAAGGGCTGGGTGGATTTTTCCTTACAAATTCAGAGCTGCTTAAGAGCTTTTTTTTGTTTTTTAATGTTAGTGATGCAAAGAGGTTGACACCTCTTTGTGGCCGGAAGGACTTATGACATAACTACCATCCCTGCAACTAATGAACCCACCCTCACAGCTTCCTTTGTACCCATTTTCTAGATTAAGAGACTTGGCCCAAAGACAGGCCTGCTTAGTAGCTGTACTCCTGGCCCAAGATGAGGCTCCCTCCCTCCCTGCCCTCCTCCGCCACCTCTCTCTCCAGCTGCTTCCTCTCCCTGCTCCTAGGCAGTGTTTCGGCGATGGCTTGAACTGGGCTGGTTGCTCCATCATCGTCCTGCTGGGCCAGCAGCGTCGCTTCGACCTGTTCGACTTCTGTTACCACCTGCTCAAAGTGCAGAGGCAGGACGGGAAGGATGAAATCATTAAGAATGTGGTAAGCAGGCTGGTGGCTGAGGCCTGGGAGGTGGGGCTGGGCTGACAACCAGGCTTTCACCAGAAAAGCAGGGGAGGAGCTGCTTGTGAAGGCCAGCTCCCCACACCGCAAGTACAAAGATACTACAGACTGGGGACCTGCTTAGAGGAAGCCATGAGTCACCCACTCATCACCTACTGCCATGAATCAGTTCACCCCGAAGGGCAGGGCTGGGCTCCAGACCGGGAGTGCATCTCCCCTGTCCCAATCAGACTCTGCTGATACCAGTTTCTCACCTGTACAAATATTCACCAAATACCAGAGCTGTGCGGGCACCTGGATGGGGTAGGTACTGGCATGGGGTGAGCTAGGCTGCTGTGGGAAGGGAGAGAAGGACCCTTAAACCAGGCTGCGGGCAGAGAAAGCTTCCCAGGAGAGGGAGGCTGTGTCTGGGCTGAGTCCAGAATGGCCCGCAGTAAAGAGCCAAGCAGCGAAGGCGGTATGGGGCAGGGAGGGTGCTCCAGACAGAGCAGCGGTGACAGCAGAGGCACTGAGGCATGAAGGCGGATCGAAGGGTGGGTCTCAGGGACCCAGTGAGAGGGGAGAGAAGTAGGAGCCACCTCACAAAGGGCTTTAGAAAAATGCACATAAAATAGTTTCAATGGTAATTTTCAGTATATGATTCAGTGGCATGAAGTACACTTAAGTTTTGTACAACCATTCCCACCATCCATCTCCATAGATTTTTCATTTTCCCCAACTGAAACTCTGCGCCCATTAAAAAATAACTCCCCATCTTCTCCCTAGCCCCTGGTAACCATCATTCTACTTTCTCTATGCATTTGACTACTCTAGGTACCTCATATAAGTAGAATCATACAGTATTTGTCTTTTCGTGACTGGCTTATTTTAGTTAGCATGTCCTCAAGGTTCATCCATGTTGTAGTGTGTGTGTTCAAATTTCCATCCTTTTTATGGCTGTATAATATTTCATTGTGTATATAGACCATGTTGTGTTTGTCCACTCACGTTGCTGTCACCTTTTGGCTGTTTTTGAAAATGGTTAATTTTGGCTACTATGAAACATGGGTGTACAAATAACTCTACAAATTTCTGCTTTCCATTCTTTTAAGTATATACCCAGAAGTGGAATTGCTGGATCGTATGGTAATTCTATGTTTAATTTTTTTAGAAACTGCCATTCTGTTTTCCATAGTGTCTGCTCAATTTTACATTCCCACCAGCAGTAGACAAGAGTTCCAATTTCTCCACATCCTCATCAGCACTTACTCTTTAATAGTCATCCTGATGGGTGAAAAAAGTTATCTTGTTATGGTTTTGATTTGAATTTCCCTAATGGCTGTCAGTGCTGAGTGCTGTATTCATGTGTTATTTGCCATTTGTGTATCTTCTGTGGAAAAATGCCTATTCAAGTCCTTTGTCCATTTTTTTAATTCATTTTTGTTGAGTTCAAGTTCTTTACGTATTCTAGATATTACTTATCAGATCTGATTCGTGATTATTTTCTATTTTATGGGTTGCCTTTTCATTCTGATGGTGTCTCTTTGATGCACGAAAGTTTTCAATTTTGATGTAATGCAACCCTTTGCCTTTGCTTTTGATGTCATATCCCAAGATATTATTGCCAAATCCAGTATCACAAAAATTTTCCCCTGTGTTCTAAGAATCTCAGTTTTAACTCTCATGGTTAGGTCTCTGATCCATTCTGAGTTAATTTTTTGTATATGGTATAAGGTAAGGGTCCAGTGTTATTTTTCATGTGGGTATTCATTTTTCCCAGCACCTTTTGTTTAAAAGGCTGTTTCTCCCATTGAACAGTCTTGGCACCCTTGTTGAAAATCATTTGATCATATGTGTAGTAGTGTATTTCTGGCCTCTCTATTCTGTTTTATTCATCTGTATGTCTACCTTTATGCCAGTGCCACACTGTTGATTATTGTAGCTCTGTAGATTGCTTTAAAACTTGGAGAGGGTTTTTATGGGTCCAGTTAACACTTGATTGTCAGATCCAGGGGATTCCATAAAAGGACTTTAAGAAGGTGACATGATCACTGATCCAGGGTACACTGTACCTCACTGACTTCTCCTGTTACTCCCTCTTTCCACCCCCACCTTTGTCCTGCCCTAACTTGAACATCCCCTTCCTTCTGTAGCCCCTGAAGAAGATGGCCGACCGGATCAGGAAGTACCAGATCTTAAACAATGAGGTTTTTGCCATCCTGAACAAGTACATGAAGTCTGTGGAGACAGACAGTTCCACTGTGGAGCATGTGCGCTGCTTCCAGCCGCCCATCCACCAGTCCTTGGCCACCACTTGTTAAGCAGTAGGTCCTGCAGACGCTTTTCTGGAGGGGGAAGAGAAGTAGGAGAGAGAAAGCCACAGCCAGCCTGCCACAGGATCCAACTGGACAACGTGTGGGATGGACCTGGAAACAAGCACCTCCCCAGACACATCACCACTCCCTAGGGCGGGGCCTGTGCATGCTCTCCCATGACATCTCCATGCTGGTTTCTTCATAGCATAAATGAAAAAAAAAAAAAAAAAGGAAACAGGGCAGTGTGTGCTTTTTCTTTTCTCCCTGCTGAACTATATTAAGAACTCCTAGTTTCACCCTTTCTCCATCCCATCGTCGCACCCATCTGTGGTTGCTTCCCAAGACCGCCTCCCAAGATGGACACCTCCTACCCAGTGCCCATGTGTGACCCCAGGACTCAAGTCTCAGACTGTGAACACAGATGTGGCCATGCGCAGAGATGCCAGCCTGGCCAGAAGGGCATGCCTCAGCTTACTACTTCATCTCTCCTGGTTCCCTCCATGCAGTACCCTGGGTGGCAACTTCTCCCACTCTGGGTACCAGGGATTCTACCACATAGGCTTTCCAAAGCCCCATTCCAACTCCCTTCTCTCAGGGAAGTCCTAGAGAGAGGTCCAAAAAGCATTCACAGCTGTATCACACTCCATGCAGGTGGGGTAGGAGACTGGTCAGGCCTGCTGTGGGGAAGCGGTATGTATGAACACAGCCAGAAACGTCATAGTCCAAACAGGATGCTTTCAGGCCATCTCAGCTGCTTGATGGTGAGATGGTTTCCTTATTCCTACGGGAAAAGCTTAGCATTGTGCCACACAGGGGAAGCAGCTTTGAACAAATCAGTCATAGCACTGCCTACAGCATTAGCCAGTGACCAAATTATGGGCCACTTCTTGGCACAGAAATGCTTATCAAGGAACATTTCCACAAGAAATAAAATATTAAGGGGTTATTTCCACAGAGGCCCAAAAAGTCTTGGAAACAGAGGTGAGGAGGAGTAATAATAATTGTCAATGAGCTTTTAATACCAAGATATGCCCCCTGTCCCCAAAGAAGAGTCTTCTTTTAGGGAATCAGAACTTTCATTGTCCTAGAAGCTGAAAGATTCTTGGAACATTTTAACTTTTACTCTCAACTTGCTGTTCTCTTTACATTCCTTAAGTTAGACTTTGGGGTGTGACTTCCCTCCCAGGGGTAACATTTACTTCCATTTTCTAGACCGAACCAAAAGTCTTCTGCAAAATCTCCCACCGAGTGTGATGAGACCATTGAGAAGGATAAAAGCCTTTAGGATATAAATTTCTTGTTACAGAGCATGTCATTGTCAAAGCAAATCTGTGGCCCTGAGGTTTTAAGAATATCAAATGTGACATTTGATATTTCTCCAGCCCAGGGAAGTAAGATGGTTAGAAATGGTTGCCTTAATCAAATGGTCCCATTTTTAACCCCAAAGGAAGTGCCCACAGCAAGAGGCTTGCATGATGCACTTATGTCCTCCAGTGAGGAAAGGTGGGGCCACATGTGAAAGGCCCCTTAGGTCAGATCCTGAGAGTAGCACATTTGAGTGCAGATTCCTGGAACCCACCTCAAACCTACTAATTCTGAATCTCTGGGAATAGGGCCAGGAAATCTGCCCTTTCTACAAGCTACCCAAGTTATTCTGTTGCACATCAATGTTTGGGAACCACTGCTGTAAGGGAATCATTCTGGTCACCTTGAGCTTTGAGCTACCACTAAGCCATGAAAGAAAATACATACAGGGAAGAGAGAAGGGAGGAGATTGCAAGTAGAAGCTGGCAGATCCTCCTCTCTGGAGGTACCACCTTCTATTCTGATTTCTGACTTTTCCTTCTTGATGACCATAGATATGTTCCAGAGACAGAAGAGAGACATTACCCCACGTGGCAGAGAACATGCTTTCAAAACATATAGAATGTCAAAGTTCCAGATCCTTCTACATCTTTAGTCCTGTCTGAGGTTGGTAGCTGGCTTTCTGTAGCTGATAGATGGCTAGAGTTCCATCCAAATCCCTGACCACGACTTCGTGGAGATTTGAATTACCTATTTGATGAGATATTTATTTCAATAACCCACCTCTCTCACCCCACATTCATATCCCTAAATTTGACCCTCTGGGCCGAGTCATATTACCTTCAGGAGACTTGATCCCAGTAGATTGAAGTCTTCCCTTTCAGCAGAAAGATTTATTTCCCTGGCTTGCCAGTGGCACTGATTTCCTAACACCCAATGAGTTTAATATTCTTTCCTCCCTGGCATTACTGCCCAAGCCTCTTTTGATTTTTTATTTTGTGTGTGTCTAATGACCAGGAAAAAAATAAAGCTTAGGTTTTAAAAAGTTTTAAAAAAAAATCTGTTTCAGAAACTGTCAAATGTACCATATTTGTATTAAGAATTGTTGGGAATTTTTGTACAATGAATTTACATTTATTTATGGTGACTTATATTTACGCTTGTGATCAAATAATGATGTTAAATTCTTAAATCATATTTGCTATGCAGCTGAAGATGATATTTTGATTTGTATTTTGGGGGTACCTGTGTTGAGTTGATAAACATTTCCATCTTCATTAAAACTGCTTCCAAACTAGTAAAACCAGCAACTTGGTCTTGATTCCTGGTCCTATTCTAATCCTCATTGACCTGTAGAAGGCCATAATAAAACTAATTACTAAGCAAACAACCTAAAAGAGAATGAAAGAAAAATATAGGTTACTGCACACCAAACTAATGGCTTTGCTTGCTTTCCCACATGGGGAATTACATCTTTACAAATTGAGCCTCACATTTCACATAGCACCAGCTTTCGTAAAGGTCATCCACTAAGATGAATCCTAGGGCTGTTTCCTCTTCTGTCAAGTTGGACAAGATGATCTTTTCTAGCTCTGATATCCTGATTCTAGGTAATTTCCCACTGGTGCACTTTGAGAGGTCTACTTCACACAACATCTTTCTCAACCTATGTCATCACCTCATCAAATTGCCATCACAATGAGTCATATTTGAGCTAGTGTAGTGAGAATACTGTTAGTCTTAATACTGTTAGAGATACTCAGTGAAAAAAGGGTTCCAAAGAAGATAAATTTGGGAAACACTTCATGCTCTTTTCCCCATGAAGATCCAAAAGACTGAGGAGTCCTGCAGAACCTTATCAGTCTGGATTAACAACCTATCTCCTAGATTGTTTTGTTAGTGTGAAAACAGACTACTGATAAACACATATCCAAGACTGGGAAGGAAAGAGGTTTAATTGTACTTACAGTTGGACATGGCTGGGGAGGCCTCAGAATCATGGCAGGAGGGGAAAGGCACTTCTTACATGGTGGCAGCAAGAGAAAAACAAGGAAGAAGCTAAAGCAGAAACCCCTAATAAACCCATCAGATCTCATGAGACTTATTCACTATCACGATAATAACACAGGAAAGATGGGTTCCCCATGATTCAGTTACCTCCCCCTGGGTCCCTCCCACAACACATGGAAATTCTGGGAGCTACAAGTTGAGATTTGGGTGGGGACACAGCCAAGCCATGTCCTTCTGCCCCTCGCCCCTCCAAATCTCATATCCCCGCCTTTCAAAACAAATCATGCCTTCCCAACAGTCCCCCAAAGTCTTAATTCATTTCAGCATTAACCCAAAAGTCCACAGTCCAAAGTCACATCTGAGACAAGGCAAGTCCCTTCTGCCTACAAGCCTGTAAAATCAAAAGCAAGCTAGTTACTTCCTAAATACAATGGGGGTACAGGTATTGGGTAAATATAGCCATTCCAAATGGCAGAAATTGGCCAAAACAAAGGGGTTACAGGCCCCACGCAAGTACAAAATCCAGCAGGGTGGTCAAATTTTAAAAATCCAAAATGATCTCCTTTGACTCCAGGTCCCACATCCTGGTCACACCTATGCAAGAGGTGGGATCCCTGGTCTTGGGCAGCTCCACCCCTGTGGCTTTGCAGGGTACAGTCTCCCTCCTGGCTGCTTTCATGGGCTGACATAGAGTGTCTGCAGCTTTTCCATGTGCACAGTGCAAGGTGCTGATGGATCTACCATTATGAGGTCTAGAGGATGGTGGATCTCTTCTCACAGCTCCACTAGGCAGTACCCCAGTAGGAACTCAGTGTGGCAGCTCCAATCCATTTCCCTTCTGCATTGCCCTAGCAGAGGCTCCATAAGGGCCCCGCTCCTGCAGCAAACTTTTGCCTGGGCATCCAAGAGTTTCCATATATCTTCTGAAATCTAGGTGGAAGTTACCAAACCTCAGTTCTTGACTTCTGTGCACCCACAGGCTCAACACCATGTGGAAGCTATCAAGGCTTGGGGCTTCCACCCTCTGAAGCCACAGCCAAGCTCTACATTGGCCCCTTTCAGCCATGGCTGGAGTGGCTGAGACACAGGGCACCAAGTCCCTAGATGGCACTCACAGCATGCGGACCCTGGGCCCGGCCCACAAAACCACTTTTTCCTCCTGGGCCTCTGAGCCTGTGATGGGAGGGGCTGCCGTGAAGGTCTCTGATATGGCCTGGAGACATTTTCCTCATGGTCTTGGGGATTAACATTAGGCTCCCTGCTACTTATGCAAATTGCTGCAGCTGGCTTAAATTTCTCCTCAAAAAATGGACTTTTCTACTGCTTTGTGAGGCTGCAAATTTTCTGAACTTTTATGCTGTTTCCCTTTTAAAATGGAATGCTATTAACAGCACCCAAGGCACCTTTTGAATGCTTGCTGCTTAGAAATTTCTTCTACCAGATATCCTAAATTGTCTCTCTCAAGTTTGAAGTTCCAAAAATCTCTAGGGCAGGGAAAAATGCCATCAGTCTCTTTGCTAAAACATAGCAAGAGTCAGCTTTGCTCCAAGAAGTTTGTCATCTCCATCTCAGACCACCTCAACCTGGACCTTATTGCTCATATCACTATCAACATTTTTGTCAAAGCTATTCAAGTATCTAAGAGGTTCCAAACTTTCCCACATTTTCCTATCTTCTGAGTCCTCCAAACTATTCCAACCTCTGCCTGTTACCTAGTTCCAAAGTCACTTCCACATTTTTGGGTATCTTTTCAGCAATGCCCACCTCCCAAGTTTACTGTATTAGTCAGTTTTCACACTGTTTGCTGATAAACATATATCCGAGACTAAAAAGAAAAAGAGGTTTAATTGGATTTACAGTTCCACTTGGCTGGGGAGCCCTCAGAATCATGGCAGGAGGTGAAAGGCACTTCTTACATGGTGGCAGTAAGAGAAAAATGAGGAAGAAGCAAAAGCAGAAACCCCTGATAAATCCATCAAATCTTCTGAGACCCATTCACTATCATGAGAACAACAGGGGAAAGACTGGCCGCCATGATTCAATTACTTCCCACTGGATCCCTCCCATAACACAGGGGAATTCTGGGAGATACAATTCAAGTTGAAATTTGGGTGGGGACACAGCCAAACCATATCACTATCTTGGAAACCCCTTTCTCTGCAATGTTAATTAACATTCTCTGCAATGTTAGTCATCCTCTCTTGGAAAACACTTTGAAAAACATTTGCCTAAGGGTATGCAAATTCATGGTAAGATTTTTTTTTAAACTCCCACAGAAAGACCACTGACATGTAGAGAATTATGATACAAGAGCACAATTAGAGAAGCAAGGGCCTGACAGATTATCGAAGGATTTCAAATGGGAAGAGGAAGCATTTTGACAGAGGGAAACAATACCATCACTGGGGGTACAAGTGTGCCCAGGGCTGTCATAACAAATACTACAAACCAAGTGGTTCAAGCAACAGAAATTCACTCTCTCACAGTTCTAGGGGCTGGACATCGATGACCAAGGTGTCAACAGAGTTGGTTTCTTTCCCCAAGATCTCTCTTCTTGGTTTGTGGGTGACTATCTTTCTCCCTGTGTTTTCACATGGTCTTCACTCTGTATGTATGTGTCTTATCCTTTTTTGTGTTGTGTGTGTGTGTGTGTGTGTGTGTGTGTTTTGAGATGGAGTCTTGCTCTGTTGCCCAGGCTGGAGTGCAGTAGTGTGATCTTGGCTCACTGTAACCTCCACCTTCTGGGTTCAGGCAATTCTCTGCCTCAACCTCCCAAGTAGCTAGGATTACAGGTGCCCACCACTATACCCAGCTAATTTTTTTTTTTAGTAGAGACGGGGTTTCACCATCTTGGCTGGGCTGGTCTTGAACTCCTGACCTTGTGATCCACCCACCCCCTCCCAAAGTGCTGGGATTACAGGCATGAGTCACTGAGCCTGGCTACCTTTTTTTTTTTTTATAAGGAGACCAGTCATATTGGATTACAGCCCACCCTAGTGACCTCATTTTAACTTAATGACCTATTTAGAGACACTATTTCCAAATATAGCCACATTCTGAGGTACTGAGGGCTAGAACTTGAGGCATGGGTCGGGGGCAGGGTGCAATTTAGCCCAGAACTGCGCTGGGCATGGATCTGGAGAAAGTGTGTTTTTGGGAGCCTTGGACAGTTTGAAGGCTGGGATGCTATTCCTTTGTGGAACACCCCTTGAACACTCACTATTTACAAGATTAGGGAAAAAAAAGAGGAGAGAAGTATAGGAATATGGTGGAGTAGGAAGGCCAAGGAATTCATCTCCGCACCTATATGACAATCACACTGGCAGAATCTGATATAACTATTTTGGAACTCTGGATTTTATTCAAGGCTTAAAACTTCGAAGGGAAGGCTTGGACAGTAAACTACAGTTCATTTTGCTCAACTTCAGCTCTTGGTTCACCAGCCGCTACCCATTTGCCACCCTACCTCTCACACCCCACCCCTGCCCCATGGCAGAAAGCTGTGCATGTGTTCCTGTACAAGCCAGGGTGGGCAATAAAGACCCTGTCCTCCAAATATCAGGGATCTATGTTCTGATGGCTGATGGTTGATTGCTGCTTCTGATCATGGAGATTTAAGCACCAAGGCAGGCAGCCGTTGTCACAAGCCACTCCCCACCCAAGATAAAGCAACTTCCAAGGGATGTAAAAGTCCAGTGTTCTTTTTCTTCCCTGTATATGCCCACTTCATTTTTCTCTTTTTCCCTTTTTGGGAGCCAGACATTAAAGATGAGTAAGTTCAAAAACAACTACATAAAAGGAGGAAATTAGGAAGTTACCCTGTATGCACAGGAAAAGGCACAAAAGATCTGAGAAGACCTTGAGCTTACATGTCAGGCTGATTGCTAGCATGGAGGCAGCCTACAATGATTAAAAAGAACAACAACAACAAAACAAAACAAAAAAGACAAAAACAAACAGCAAGACTTGGAGGAAAAGAAAGAACCCGATTTCCAGAAATACCATACTATTAGCTTCCCATGTCCAGTGTTTAACAAAATCACAAGGCATACAAAGAAGCAGGAAAGTATAGCTGATTTAAAGGAAGAAAAATATATAAACTATCCATGAGAAACATTAGATGGTAGAACTACCAAAGACAGAGCCTAAGGGACCCATGGGATACCATTAAATGAACCAATATACTCATTGTGGGAATCTCAAAAGAGAGACAAAGGGCAGAGATATTTTTTGAAGATGTAATAGCCAAAACATTCCCAACTTTAGTGAAAGATATGGT